CCGCATATTATTTCATTTAAAAGGCAAAGTTATTACTATACTGTTATCGATTAGTAGATATCGTTTAGTCATGTAGTCATCAGTACTTCTGATGACTAACCAAAATGATTTGGAATTCCATTAGCGATAATACCATGTAAATTTCATAAGGTGTGTCTAGGACAACTCACCTCTGTCTTTCTGCTAATTTTATCAATGTTAGAAATATGACAATAAATGCATATTAATATTAGTTGTCTAATAAAAGTAATTTCTTACATATTGTATTTCTTATTTTTATCACGAAATAGATTTATATTAATTTCTTATTTTTGTTACCAAAATGAAAAAGATTTGTTCTTTGTACGCAATATAGAGTTTGAACAGATTTATAAATTTAAGCCTTGGGATGTGTTAAATTTTATTGTGTGTGTCTATCGATTAGTTTTATATGATGTAATAATCTTCCTCTCGAATTCAATGTGCACACGTAGAAGGAATTTCAAGATGACGTAGCGATAGGTTTACCTTGGAAGCGAGAAAATCGAATAGTCAATTGTGAGGCGTTCGTAGAATTGCATTTATTCGTCACGGTCGTTTGATTCATTTTTAGACATATCCATGGAAGAAACGCACACAAATTTATGAATTTTGCTGTATCTAATTATCACTTTACGGATAGCAACATTTCTCATAAGACGTTATCTGCCTCTTACAGAAAATCAAAACAACAATCTGCGATAACATTTTTTTTTTAATCATCACCAAGATCAATAAAAAATAAACATATAAGATAAAGATCGTCATTTCTGATTGAATTTATTCAAGAATAAATATTAGAAAAAAATGTCTATAATTTTAGCGAAGTTACAATCGCTTAAGTATTTGTGAGGTTAGCAAAAAGTAACGACTGCTGAAATTTGCGTCAACTTATTTAATGTCCATATCTCGCCAGTCTCCGTTACGTTTCATTAAATTTCGTCTTTATCAATTATCTTGCGCGCGAGATGAAGCCATCATTCGAGTAACGTGGAGTATACCCTGTTATTATTACGGCATATTAAGGCCAATGTTATAACTCGGTTTCCCGGGGTTTCACATAATGAACGTGGGCACTCGCCCTAATCTTGCGATTGTCTATTAACGTTGTCTATCGCGCGTACGGCGCGCCGTTGGTGATTCCTCCTTTTCTCTCCGCGCGGTAATTTAATCGTGATTTCCGCGGATGAATGCGGGACGGGGACATACAGTGTGCAATGCGATGCCTGGCGAAACCAGTTCCCAGGATAAAAGCGAGAGAGAGCCTATCCGGGGAAGTGTGTTCTCGGTGTCTTCTATAGGGTGTCCCACAATCTACCGACCGAATAATGAGGTGAACGACTTTTTTTCACTCTTCATCCGAATCATTATATTTCGGGAAAGAAACGCGCTTTGAATAATAGTTATCTAGATATTTAATTGAATTTAATGTAAGAGAAGTGTGAGACTGGTTTAATGAATGGTTCAATAAGCCAACCCGCCAAGGAGAAAGGGTTTACATTGAAATACATACTTTTGCATATTGATGCACGGTGCTCGCGTTTTATGAAAAAAGAAATAATTATTAGAAAATTTTTATTTTACGACAAACGATATGATGAGTAAAAAAACGTCCCTAAAAATCTTGTTTATTTATCAGGAAATGATTACGACATTCGTATATTTCTTTCAAATTATTAAATATTTTCACTCCATTTTAATCTTTTGATTTTCTTCAAAACCACTATTGTATTCAATGAGAAAAAAATTAAAGATATTATGCTAGACATTGTTATACAAGCGTAGTCAAAACTTGTTCACTTTAATATTCCGATGGCAGGTGTGTGCACTTTGATACATTATGTGTACCAGCTGTTTGAAACTATACACGTGTTTGCTTAAAGGCCAGTATACGTGGAGTGTCGGAAAAAAACGAAAGAAACGTCATAAAATATCTTACACTAACATTTAGTAACCAAACTTTTCAGTAAAACGTATATTATTATTAACTTTAATTATTTAATTAACTTACACATACAAGTTACATATTTATAAAATTTATCTTTTTGTTATTGACTTGCTCATCCATGTTTATCCGCAAATGTTCAATCGTGATTGTTTGTTTTTAGTAGCTTAGTCTGAATGTATCTTGATACGACATGATAATAGTAATAAGCTTGTTTTTAATTTGATTATTTCTCTCGTCGCTGCGACTTGGTTGAAAAAAATAAAAGGAGGATTACTCGTAGCAAAACGAAGCGCATTCGCGCTCAATTGATTTCCGTTCGCTATTCGTTTTCCGGATTCCACCTTATGCGATGATACGCGCGAGAGACGCGCATTTTCCGCTGCGTCCATAAATTACATCGATTTTGTTGATCGCAACGACGCGATCGTAACTCGTCGGAAAAATGAAACGATGACAGGAAACATGTGTTTTCACGAGGAAACGTTGCGACAGAGTAAACGTTCGGTTAGTGGACAGCTCTTACTCCCTTTTCCGTCGCCGAGTCTTTCGCTTGCAAACTGTTGGCACGTCCGTTATGCATACGGAAAAACTTTAAAGAAGTGCCTTTCTTACGTTTCACATTTTGCATGCTCCCATGACGAAGTGAAAGATAATTTTATGGAAAAATGAAAAACATATACGGCTATTACATTGACATAAAGGAAACATGTCACATTCCTTAATTTTGTTATTCAAATCTTATATTATATTATACAAAATAAATGTACAAATATTAGTATAAAAAATTAATATAAATAATAAATATTAATATAAAAAAATATAAAAGAATATTGAGAAATAAAAATGTATGTACGTATTATATGTTTGACATTTTACATATTTGACATTTGACGCATAGCATATAACTTGACGTACTTCGATAAGCTTGGACCTTCGATAACGTATCTATTTGCATTTTGCTACTAAGTGTCACTAGAATTGTTATCGCGATTCCATAAAAATGTTTTTAGATTTTTTTCGTGCTTTTTGTAACATCTTTAGTGTCGCGCAGAATTTCTCATCACATAAAATAAATATAAAATATTTATTATATTTTTTGAATGATGCAACTATATGTGTACTACAAGTATTTTCCAGCATCTATTCTATTATAAATGTGAAGATAAAACTTGATTATTTAATTATGCTACTGCATATTATAATTATGCGTTGACAAATTTACCTGCTTAACGAAGATCGTGAAACTCGCTTTAAAATACTTGCTTACAAAACGAGTGACGTTTAATTTAGTTAGACGAATGAGAACGACGAAAACCATTCTTTTACATTATTATACTTTAGCATAAAATGTATATTTTTCTAATTTTAATAAAGAATATTTTAATATCACAAAAGTTTTTTTAGTTTTGAGTTATAAAATGTATTTTACTTCTAATTGCTTTATTTATTGTGATAAAATCATGATAACATTTTTAAATGTTACTGTGTTATCATAATCGATTGATACTTCTGAGGATATATTCTATTCGATTTTTTACTTACTTCCACTTTACTGCGCGATCAATAAAATGACACTGATAAATCCTCAATGACAGTTTCAGTTCGTTCTAGCGTGTCGCGACAGTTTGATCTATTTTCCACGGGAAGTCTATATTTTTTCGACATGGAAATTTCTGATATGAAAAGATGGGACGCCGTGCTGGAGTATTTTAAGGATTTCCGAGAGCTATTTAAGTTCGTGAGTGCACTCAGCTTCCATTTTCTTTAGTTTTTTCGGCAAAGATTCCAATGTAATAAGTGTTTGATATAAGAAATAGGTAGAAAGAACGATAATTTTGAAACATTTCTCTTCCAATATAAATTTTTCTTCTGTTAGAATAATCTTGCAATTGAAAAAAAATTGACATCAGAGATTGATAGCTTGTGTATATTTTACGAAAGACGTAATGTTAATTAGCTGGCAGCGTGCACACTCTCTCGGGGGCATCTCAAATGGGCATAAGGAACTGCCGATTAACCCCGATGCAAGTCCATCTTCTCAGAAATACACCGCTTACATTCACGTCGTTACCGTATGCCCATTGTTCTCGCGCAAAAATTGTGATGTCTACGAGCGATGCATAGATATGCTTGCGGATCTTCTAGCGGAATTTTTCGTGACCTGAATTTCTTTTGCGCTAAGCCTCTGCGACTTTACGAGAATTGTATAGATGCATTTCTTGTGTAACTCATTTCTTATGGAATTTTAACTCTAGCCGAACAATCATGCGAAAACTAATGAAATAATCTTGCAAATTGTCCATTTTGTATTATTCATTATGACCCAATTATTTAAATTAGTTTAAACAGCAAAAGCGCTTAAAGAAGAAATGTGTGCTTGTCAAACTATTTTAGTTGCAATTGATCAATCAAAATAAAAAATTCGACAAATTTTATATTATTTTTTTGATTTTTCTTTCCTGTAGAAGAGTAAAAATAAATGGATTCATAATGAATTTACTATATTTATACCATATTAAGAAATTTTCTGAGACTAGTAAGACGTTTATATCTCTTTGATTCTAATTATCTTTTTGTATTCGCGATGCTTTACGAAATTTATTAACATTTGTTACGAGTTTTGCTCATTAAATTAATTACATTTTATTATCTACACACACAATCGTCCTTTCCTAATAAACGCATATCTTTCTGCGTGACGAAAATCGCGTTGGAGAAGATACTGCTATGTTGCACAATGTTATCAAGAATGGTGTTGCAAGTTTGATTTATCTGATATTATCTAACATTATCATCACGCAGCAGTAGCCAAACAAAAAAAATAGATGAACGAAGATAAAAGAAAAAATTCTGTTTCTTTTATAAATCATATTGATATCAACAACGCAATTGATATCATCAATTGCGAACAGAATTCTTTAATTAAATACAATTAAGAAAAGAGTAAATGTTCTTTATCGCTTCTAAGATCTTTACGACATAATACATTATCGAATTTTCGATGAAAGAACTAACAATCTTCTTTCTCGAATAGATTGACGCGAACGGAGATGGCTTCATCAACGTTACCGAGTTACGAAACGCTTTGGACGTTTGCGGCTTCAAAATGCCGGGCTACAAAGTGCGTCAGATGATCGAGGAGTATGACGATAAGCAGCGGCTGGAGCACAAAGGTCGGCTGTCCTTCGAGGAGTTCGAGAAGCTCTGCAAGGAACTCAAGGCCAACGAACTGGGCTCCACGTTCAAGCAAGTCGTGTCGAAGAAGGAGAACCTTGAGACTCTGGGTGGAATTTCCGAGGCATCCAGCGAAGGAACCACACATTCTGTCAGGCTTGAGGAACAATTGGCGTTCAGCGACTGGATAAACACCAATCTGTCGCACGATCCTGACTTGAAGCACCTGCTGCCCATCGATCCCGAAGGAAAGATGCTCTACGACAAGGTCAAGGATGGAATATTACTCTGGTGTGTACAGTACATTTTTTGGCAGCTCTATATGTTGTTTCTTTTCATTACTATTATTATAACCTTAAATATAGTATTACATTAATATACATCTAGAAAAATTAAATATAAAATATTGGTTTTATTTAAAATTATTCTAGAATTTTAATAAAATATATTTTTCCTAATGTTTAAGTTAATAAATAATGTTATTGATTAAAAGATGTAACTGGAATTAAGACACATCCGTAAATTAATTTTTAAATATATACAATAATATCGAAATTCTATCATTTTAAATTTATCTCAATTGATAATGTAAACTCTAAAATTGATTAACCTATTGAAAATTAATTTTGCATTTATTTTACAGTAAAATAATCAATCATTCTTGTCCGGACACTATTGACGAGCGCACGATCAACAAAAAGAACCTGACGCTGTACAAGAAGCATGAGAATTTGACACTAGCTCTGTCCTCAGCCCAAGCTATTGGCTGCAACATCGTAAACATCGATGCCCACGATCTCACCAAAGGTTCACCCCATTTGGTGCTAGGTCTACTCTGGCAGATCATCCGAATCGGCTTGTTTAACCAGATCACTCTCGAGAATTGCCCCGGTTTGGCCACTCTTCTGCAAGATGGTGAACGAATCGAAGATTTATTGAAGCTATCCCCGGAGGCGATTCTTCTCCGATGGGTGAACCATCACTTGGAGAATGCCGGTATCGCCAGGCGATGCAACAACTTCCAGTCCGACATCACGGACTCTGAGATTTACACTTATCTCATCAAACAGATCGCACCAAACACGGCTGGTGTTACCTTAGAAGCCTTGATGGAACCGAACCACATGTCTAGGGCGGAAATTATGCTTCAACAAGCTGCAAAGCTGGGCTGTCGTAGTTTCGTGACGCCTAGCGACGTCGTGAACGGCATTTATAAACTCAACTTGGCCTTCGTTGCTAATATGTTTAACAATTATCCCGGATTGGATAAGCCGGAAAACAACATCGAAGGTTTAGAGTCTCTAGAAGAGACGCGAGAGGAAAAGACCTATAGAAACTGGATGAATTCGATGGGCGTGACGCCGCATGTCAACTGGCTCTACTCAGACCTCGCTGATGGCCTGGTGATCTTTCAGTTATACGATATCATCAAACCAGGCACTGTAAATTGGAACAAAGTGCACAAAAAATTTACAAAACTTCGAAAGTTTATGGAGAAGCTGGAGAACTGCAATTATGCTGTCGAACTAGGCAAGCAAATGAACTTCTCGCTCGTGGGTATCGCCGGACAGGATCTCAACGACGGAAATGCGACTTTGACGTTGGCTCTGATATGGCAATTGATGAGGTCATATACGTTATCGATTCTGACGTCTCTAGCTGGTACTCAGGGAAGCACCCTTGTGGAGAAAGAAATTGTTCAATGGGTGAATTCCAAACTCCAAGCGGCTGGAAAGACCAGCAGTATCAAGGGATTCCAGGATTATTCAATATCGGATGGCAAAGTCGTCATCGATCTCATCGACGCCATCAAACCTGGTTCAGTGAACTATGATCTCGTTAAGGAGGGCGGAACTGAAAATGTAAGATTTCTGCTTATTGTTTCTCGATATTCTTGCAATTAAAGCAATTATATATTCTCAGTTAATATCAAAGTTAATTTTTTCATTGCACAGGAAAATCTGGACAACGCGAAGTACGCGATATCTTTGGCGCGAAAGTGCGGTGCGCGTGTCTATGCGCTGCCGGAGGACATTACCGAGGTGAAGCCGAAGATGGTGATGACGGTATTTGCCTGTTTGATGGCGATGGACTACATCCCGAACATGGACTCTGTGAAAAATCAGCAGAACAACGTAAACAACGGTCAATAATGTCGGCATCAATTCATCGTCACGTTGCTCCACCTAATTGATGCCGTTTATCTTTTTTACACAAGAACTTTTGCTCGGATCGCGCCGCCTCACGCTTCTTCTACGGGCGTAATATTTGTATATACGTAGATTAAGTTTAGTTAACTCTTGATTTTGAAGAAATTATTAGGGATTACTGCTAGGAAGAATTTATGAGACGAGAAGGGGAACTCCTTTGGAATTCTGACGAGATATCGTTTGATCCCTTTTTGTTTGTTGAATATCGTGTGAGGTACATAACAACATGCCAAGATCGTGTTTGATGAAAGAAATTGTATTACGACGAAGTCTGAATATTTTTTGATTAAAACATACGAATATGTTCATATAGTCAATTATCTGTACGTACGATATATAAGAATTCAAAATTTAAAATATCTTTTAAATAAACTTTTTATTAATTAAAATGGCGATAATAAAACTTTGATCTAAGATTTACGGTATATCGATATGCCGATAATTCTCGTGCCAGAAAGTGTATTTACTTACAAGATAAGAAGGCCAGATTGTCATGAGTAAGTCTCGCTCGAATCGACACTATTTACTCCTAAACACTTTTCTACTACTACATGTGACTGATTATCGTGTCTTACTGTGCAAAGTGGAATTCTCCTTCTCTATTGTTTATGCAATCATATCATACGTTTCACATTATACATATATACCACATCGGGTTTGTATAAAACAATTTTATATCGAGTACACATAAAGTGAGCAAATATACGCTAGAAACCACCGAGAAATATTCAAAGTGCATACTCAAATATTCAGAATGTACAGGGTATATTTCAATATTATTTTTAATAGATAAATTCTTTTAGAAAAATTTTAATTTTAAATCTGTTAGCACAGGATATTGGTCACTGAATCTTAAAAGTTGCAATGAATGATAATTTTCGTACAAGTTTTTTCTTTAAAGAAGAAAAATTAACACTTGATTTGTCAAGAAATTAAAATTTTGTAGGATCCCGTATACATTTTAAACAAATTAATTATCTTGTTTTGCACGTGTTATATATATACATAGAATGGTAATTTAACACTCAAATTACGCAGTACAGTCATAAACATATATTTAACACATGAGGTAGATATACGTATTTGATAATCTAGGATGTAAGAGATTTGTGATCTATATTTAAACGATTATTTTTTACGAGCTCTCGATGATTCACACAGTATCTATCAGAGGGTCATAAGTCATAATGGTCTAAAACTTTTTGGTTGACTATTTTTCTTGCACATTAATATTGAATAAATGAATTTTATAGCCAGCATAATTTACGACGTCTGTACAAAGTATATACTTTATATGTGTATTATACGAGAATATTGATGACTTTTTATACATCTTGTCCGGCTCTAAATAGTAATTCCTGAAAGAGGAAGAAGGAGGCCTTTTGATACTTCACTCATGAAATCTGCCCTCTCATAGCGTGGCAACAGTTTCATTGCCATATGTCATTAAAACGTATTCGACATAATGCATGTTCGAAAAGTCGATCAGTCGACGATTGTATCGTGCACTCTGTAAATGGACGACAATGAATAATAATTATGTTATCAGATTATCATTTTGACGCACAAAATAATTGTAATCGTGCCATTATAAATATTGAAGTCTAAAACATGATTCAATATTTACAACATTTATAATTTATTTGAATTGAGACGTACTTATGAATTCGAAGATGGATACTAAAACAATATTCGCGATTGCTCTCTGTGAATGAAAGAGTTAAAAAACGTAGATTTCTCTTGATCTGCGTATTTTTGCAACGTGTTTCGTGCACGTAGCAAATGTATATACATATATATAATATTGGGGAATTAATTGTTTTTAGAAAATAAATGCTCCCTTTATAATCAAGCGAAGGTTCAATCACAAGATGATCATGAATCAAATTTCATGGACTAAAAATTTTTTTTACAAATATTTTGGGACGAATTCCATTGTATTGCGTAATTAATTTTTGTGCACTAAATTTTAGAGATTGCTACAAGGGATGAATATTAGATGAGATTTAAAATTTAGCATGCTTCTTGCATTTACTATAATTGTGTAGTCATTGACTTAAATTATAGTCGATCAATTGTTAATTATGACAGATGCTAAATGTAATTATGTTACGAAAGGTGAGAAATCATCTAAAATGAATTAAGTGCAATGCATGTTATCGCGATTTGCATAGATACTTTTCTAAATTTGTTTTTCCTGTGGATATGAAATTTGCAGTCTTAAAGTGACGTTAAAGTAACATTTCTTCAATATCAAGGTTGCGTTATTATTTCAAGAGAAAACGAAGTAGATGCATGACACATTCATATACTGATATACAGAAGAAAAATTGGCCGAAAAAAGTTGAAATATAATGTGACGCAAATTTGAAGCATTTATATTAGTCCAGTGTGCAATTACGCGATTGAAAAATTCTCGAGGGCCATTTGCAATTCGACTAATTAGAACTAAGTGTCGCAATCATTGAATAACTTTCAATTTATGATGATCATTGTATACGTATACGTTTCATATATAGACACATTCGCGCGTATCATATACACACACACACACACACACACACAACACGCACATTCCATGTGTGTGAACATGCGTCCATCGTTCTAGTTATAATTTAATGTATGAGTAATTTAAATAAAGAAAAATTTACTATGTACAGCTTTATCGCATTTCTATTAACTACTAGGAATAATACATGAAAATGAGCTATTGGAGAAATAATCTTACAATTAGGAGCACGTTTAGTTAAATCAAATTTTCCATTTATTTTTATGTATGTGTCACATATTATTTCTACATAGTATATAATAAGTTTTTATTTCTTACGTTGTTTTACGTATTGTTATTCGTTATTTTTATTGTATAACAAGTACAGTATTACACATGTATAGTAAATTCTATATATTAATTATTTCGTGTAGCGATTTTGCATCTATAGGCTTTTATTTCTATTAGAATTAACTTTATTGTATTCGTAACATTTTCAATAATTATTATCAGCAGAAATACTTTTTACATCATGATTAGCAAGTATCTTAGTCTCGCCGGGTTTTATAATTGCAGGCGGGTCTTTCACGGCTGGCTGAATATCTTCCAAGATTATTTTTGTAATTTCGACTATGTTGTATGTCTTGTGGTTTAAAATTGACTTACCCTTCCTTATTGTAGACGAACTAAAACTCGTTTCACTAATTTCCATTTGACTCGTCATCATCGCCTAAAAAAATGACACGCACGAATTAAGAATAGCTTCTGATTTCACGCTTCTTTTCGAGCACACAAAGTGTACGTCAGATCATCATTTTTTATATTTAATTATATCAATTAAAAAAATGAAATCTGCAATATGAAAAGTCGGAACATTTACAAATTTTCATTTATTTAAAAAAGTTCTAAAATAATTCTAAAATCTTTGTACATGTGACATTAAACATTAAACATTAAATAATAACAATTATTATATTCAAAGTAATTAAATTTGTCAGTACCATTAAAAATAAGTTATAGTAATCAAATTCTTTTTAAAATTCATCAAGTTCTTTGAAATAAATTGAAGTATCGATACAAAATGTTGAAAACAATTTGAATTCGTTAAGAGTGAAAGCATATAAGCAAAAACTACTCGACAATATTGTCGTAGCCTGCAGATAACTTACCAAATCCGCTTGTAAACGTTCGTAGACAACCGTGTCACCATATTTACGAAAGTAGCTGTCTGCGTAGCAGCTGCAATCGTTAAGATTTGTTATCTTGTCGATGACAAGGGTTTCGGTGGAAGTTATATGCAATTTCGATGGTAACATCTTCAATCGGAAACCGCGGCTCTCCATGTTTTCAGCTCCGGAATGATGATACGTACTGAAGGTGACGTTGCATTTACCTATAGTGGATGCAGTTTCACCCTCGAATGTGCCATCTTCGACGTTATTGAAATCGTTGCCGGGATGTAGTTGCTCGGCCACCGTCTTCAAGATATTGAGATCATAGGTCCGTGTCAGCTGGCTCGCGACGATACTCTCGATGCCTTCCTCGTTAAACAATAGCTCGATAGACGCATCAGTGATGTTCCTCCGTCGATTCACGACATTGTCTTCCCCACCGATCGTACCAAAGTCGAAGCCATCAACGTACCTAAGGCTGCAGCTTAGAGTATCATTCCTCTTCGGAATGCAATGTAACCGAGAGGTGATACGATAACCGGACGGGTCACCGCACGCTGGAACATGATGAGGACACTGTGGTATTCCTGTCACGTTCATATGAACGGTGAAGATGTATTCGGGTCCATGTGGCCACGCATGATCCTTGGTAGGAAGTTGCACAGCTGATGAGAATTAAAATTTTCATGTAGCAATTTATAAAAAGACGTCATTCTTTTCGTTAGCCATTATTAAGCTTACTTATTATTTGTCGCAGCTTTGTGTTCTATTTTACAACATTTGTATTATTCATTTATTGAAAGAAATATAATTGATCTATTTTACTGACAAATCTCCTCTGCAAAAAGTATGATTAAATTTTTATATACACAGATACGTAAGAAGATTCTTTTTTTACATTTTGTGAAAGAGAAAATATAAATAGAAATATAATTTATAATGATACGCTATTTTATGAACAGTTGACTTACCTAAAAAGAATGGTATAAACGCTGCGACGATCATGTCACCGTATACAAATCGCAGTTTGACGCCACTCTTCATCTTGAAAGCGCTTTTATACTGCCTTTATATCATTAAGGACGTTCTTATTAGGTAATTCATTTTAATTCACCACTAACGCGCCAACGCTAATTATTACGACTTCGTGGAAATGTAACGCACTCGCTTTTGACCTCAAATTTGCCACAATTGCGTATTTCCTAGACAAGACTAAGTCTTGTGCGTTACAACATGCTGTCTATTCAAGAATATACGTACCATTGAATTTTTATAAGGATATATTCAATTTCGTAATTGCAATAGAAAACATTATCCTTTCTTAAAATAGATCGAGTTCTTTCATAAAAACTGTTTTTGATATGATAGTCACTTTCCTCGGATAAATCATTTGAAAATATTGAGGCTTGGTTCTTTTACGGAGTTATAATTTTTGGAATATCTTCAAGTTAAAATAAATTGGCGATGAATTAAAGGTGCGATAAATGTAAAGGATTGAAACCAGAGACGGAAAGAAAAGCTTTTTACAAGCATTTTACAAGTACTGTTTATTCAACTTTGTTTACAGTTTGATAGTTTTAATTTGATTAGATATTTTAATACCTGCAAATTGTGTATAACTTGGCTACAGTGTAACGTCATCTGCATGTATTATCGGAGCGTAGAGATATATTGTCGCTTTAATTTATGAAATTGCTTGGAATATCATTATTAGTATTTAAATCGATCAGTTCGCCGTAGTAAAGGGAAGGAAGTTGATTTTGTGCAGGTTCAATGCTGTTTAGATTAATCTGTATTATTTCTTTAAACGATAATATCCTAATCTCGGATTCAGTCGAAAATCTTACTTTTCCATCGAATTCGGTGAAGGTTTCGAATTTGTCTGAATTGATCTGTATTTTGCTGACGAATCTCCTCTGTAAAGAATACAATGAAAAAATTTTATACACATGCACACAAATAGGTACGCTGCACGTGTACATACCATTTCTAAGATTCCCCTTGAAAAATCGACGTATCGCGGTGGATTAATACATCCCATCCGAGATTTCTGAATCAAGAGAGTCGTTTCAGGTTTCGCGTCGGCCAGTGGCAATATCACGAGCCGAAAATCGTTATCTATTTTCTCGCTCGTATCCGTCTCGGGTTCTTCACGCGTGATTCTGTACACGGCCGCGCAATCGCCCATTGTCGAGTTCTCCCTGGCCATAAACTGTGACATGCCAATTTTGCGCCGATCGACAACCACATTAAACTGAGTGGCGATCTTTCGGAGGACGTTGACGACTTCCATGCGAGACGGTGGCTCGATCACCAAACCTTCCACACCGTGCTCATTAAATTTAATCTCAAACATTTGTTCCGTTTGTGCTTCTCGCGTCATGTTGTGATTTTCAAATAATTCCGATTCCGTTAAATTGTACAAATGGCAAAATAGATTGTCCGGCGTTTTGGGACGACATTTTATCGTAGAGATCAGTTGCAGCTTGTGGATAGGTTGATGGGGGTCTGGTTTCATTATATAAGTGATATTCATGTCGTATGCGTACTCTGGCCCGAATGTCCATTCCGACGTGTCATTGACGGCTACGTAGGCCGCTAAGCAAATGAAAATTTAATATTAATTATAGTCACCTATCGCCAAAAAGATATAATTTTTGTAATAACGATTTTCTAAATATCTCTTTATAGTTATACTCCCCCCTCTTTGAAATTTTTAAACTCCTTTCAGTAAAAATATTTTGAAACCGTAGATACGCGTCTCAAACTAAATACTTATATGCACATTAAAAAAAAGACAGTTCTAAGGCAAATAGTGATTCAGCATGAACTTTTCGCAGCAGAGCTTTTAAAAAAGTGATATATAAATATCTAGACACTTTATATTTGAATTTTGATATTAATAAATCGTATTTTATTTTGTTTTATTTCTGTTACATATCTTTCATCAATTTTTGAAGTATCAACATTACAAGATCGGGTGCATGACATATGTGTATACTTATGTTGCATTTGTTTAAATGCAATTTCAAGAGTTTGGGCGAATGCGACGTTGTATGGTAGGCACGTGGATTCAAGTAGTTGTGTACTTGTTAATGGCTTACCGACCTAGGAAGTACGGGATCAGGATGGCGTTCATCTCGTGACAATGAGCCTCGCTACACGCTACACGTACGTTGATACTACTCTTCTTACACTCGCACGCTCCTTTATATCAGAACGTGCTCATAATTTAACGGCATAACATTCAACAGCGCTTGCGTCTATAGTGCAGAACCCCAGGATGCCGTGTATTATGACCGCATGTGACGCATGCACGTTCATATGACACGATCATATGCATAATGACATCGTAACATAATAAATATACAGAGCGTTTTAACTATAACGTTTTGGTTCCTGAAGCTAATTCCATTGTCATAATTAATTCTATATGAAAATGAAAATTTATATTACATCTTAAAGCGTTTATTTGTGATACCAAATTAATTTTAGACTATTTTCAAAAATACTTTATTCTTTAAATAAACTTAGGCGTCCTTTTCACAATCATCTCTTGCAATTATAATTATAATTATTAGGTAATTGTATCATCTTTTATTATGACGACAAATACATTTGATAGGTAAAGAACAAGTAACCATTTCCGTTCAAATTACATTTATAACGAAATTTCTTGGAGAGATTTGTTAAGCAAAAGACTCTTTACGTATGAGCTTTCAACAAAGTCAAATCAGTTCACTTCTCTGGCGAGAATTGTAGCGAGAACAATCGCTAATAATACAGCGAGAGCACTTTATCAAGAAGCGCTGAATGATATATGTTCAAAGAAATAATGTCAATTCTAGTGTAGCTGCATTATTTTCATCTTAAACAACCCTTTATTATAATTATATTTAATGACGTTTATAAATGAAAAATGAACTTATGTAATTTTACTTTAGATTATATTTTTAGTAATATATTCTCAATTGAAATGAAGTTAAATTACAAGCAGAAACGTTATCATTACAAACGATTGATTATTAATAATCGATTATGGAGAGAAAAAGAGAGAGAGAAAGAGAGAGAGAGAGAGAGAGAGAGAGAGAGAATATTATATTTGCAACTAATAATCCTATATCTGTGAAACGGTCTCTTTGATTTTTTTCAACACTACGAATATTTCAAATTATTCGTCTTCCGGAATAGTTTGCAGATTTGAAAAGGCAAATAAACTTGTCGAGGCTGGATTTTTTATCTCTGGTATTGATTCATAAGAAGTTTCGGCAAGATCTATTCGTTTCAATTTTAGGCTTATCTTTTGATATGGTCGCATAGACCGTGATTTATTTGCTGTTTTCATTACACCCTCCGATATTGTGTAGGATATGAATTTGTCTTTTGAGATCGTAATATGACTATTGGAAGTGGTCTGAAAGAAAAAAACAGATCTCAATTTAAAAATATTGTCAGCAATTGTAAAAAATCATATTGCATACTTATGTTTCAAAAAAACGAAAGTTTTTAATAGCTTATTTAATTATGAGAAATTAAACGTTTGGAAGATTCAAATGGTAAAAAGTAAATAATTTCAGAATCTTCAATATATCAATTAGTTTTAATTATATTATCGATTTAAAACTCTGTTGAAAAAATTACTAAGAGAATTTTAGTTTTTTGCTTGCGATATTATCAAATTGAATAAATCTAAAATTTTTTCATTGTCGTACCATATCCATATGAAGTTCTCTGTCACTGTGACTATAATCCTCATGATCTCCAAAAAAGTATATCATTCTTCGCGGGCATCTTTTCGGCTGTCGGATTTTTTCTACCTGGAGTCTTTCCATAGGTAAAAATGCAAGTTCTACATTCGATCCGACGAATTCGATCTTAAAATTTTCGCTTTCCTCGATAGAATCATTGCCATTTTTCTCAGAATCCGGACCATTACGGATGATCTTAACGTCGACTTCGCAGTGACCCATTGTCGAATTTTCCATAATTGTGAATTTATCGCGATGCTCCGGCATCTCAAAACCGACGTTTAACTGGCTGACTATGGTCTTTATCATATCGAGCCTCCATCTAGGAATCGACCTATGTACCACTAGATTTTCGATACCCTTCGAATTGAATCTGATCTCAAAAGGCTCATCATTCACGAACTTGTATCTCGAACTTGGCACAAAATCCTTCGCGTTCGAACATCTATTATCTTTCGGATCGGGGCGTTTGATTCGGGAGTTCTGAAAGTGACAGCGGAGACTGTCGTCTCCTTCAGGTCCCTTGGGTCGACACTTGAGATCGGTGGCAAGCATAGCACAGAAATTGTCGTTCTCCTGAACAATGTTAGCCAGAGACATGTTCACGAGAACATCGTACGTGTATTCCGGACCGAATGTTGCCCATTTGGTCCGCTGATAGTTTTGTTGAGCATCGTCGACAGTAATATTTGCAACTGTGTAATGAAAAGATAGCGTCGCGATTGATAGAAATATAATCTCATGATTGATAGAAAACGAAAACTAATTTTTATTTGCCAGATGAAAAAATTTTGACAAATAAGTGAAAATAATGTAAATAAAAATAAATTATAATGCTGTGAGATATTGTACGTTAAAAATTAAATAGACTATTAAATTTAAGATATTATTCCATTGTCTGTCAAGTTTACGTTAATAATTCACCGATGAAACAAATTTTAAAAACGTACCTAGGAAAAATGGCAGAATCGTCACCCACATAGCTGCTATAGCTTCTCTTGGACTGATGCTCTGTCTGTCATCAGTCTCCTCTTTATAGGGCTGTGATCCGATTCACGCTCACAACGTTCATTATTTATCCTTGTTTAACATTTGTTAAACAAGGATGAAATGATTCTAAGAGCGCGTGAATGTAAAATGGACTAGGAAGCTTAGGAAAGATAACTTGATTCATTATAGTCTTCTCCTTGAAAATAATTTCACGACATACCATTTCCGCTTAGTTTCTGCAGATATCTTCCGTATTGGTTGCGATAAGAGCATTGCCTTCGTACTTAGGATTATTTTAGTAATGGCAAGTGCATCGCAAGTGCAAGATTTAAATGTAATTGATGCAAATTTACCGTTTATCCTTTTATCTGCATTTGTTAATGACTGCCGTATATCTCTTTACATATAACAGAAAATGTAGTTTTGTTTTGTAAATTAAAAAACTATAATTTATTAATATTTTCTGATTTATATTAACATAATTATTAACATAATTAATTGCATTATAAAAAATGCTTTTAGTTTTAATTCTGTCAAATATATATGATTATTCGTTATATAGAAGATATATAATAAGGTCAAAAATTCAGTCAACTCTATAGAATTCGAATTAAGATAGAAAATAGAGTAAGTCAATGCAAATAAACGAGAAAAAGCAATGTAACACCTTTATATATTTTACAAAGAATTTTGAGCCGTTAAACAATTTGATTTTTAAATATAACAAATATAACTTGTAACTTTTGTAATTAAAATCGAATTAATTGGGTACTGATTAAGAAACAAATTTTGTCGAAGTATGTACATAAAGATAAAAATCAATATAAATTTAGCATATACTTTTATTCCTTGTCGTTCTTACAATATCATACAATTAATAAAGTTGTATTCTCATACCTGAAAATTCAACACTTTTGCTACAATTTTCTTCTTATTAATTATTATCAACATTAGTATGATATAATTTAATTTATAATTATCCCTGATATTCACACGCGCAACATAATATTTGCAATATGTTCAACGTAAAAACAAATACAAAGCTGCACAATTCTATAACAGCTTGAAATTTTAATAGAGAGAAGAACAAGTCAAATAAATCACTCTGCGACAAGTGAATTTTTTAATTTCGCCTTTCATGTCAAACGTTCATCTGTTCGTGCATCATATGGCACTGAAATCATTTAATTATCCTCCTCAGATGAATCGTCGGTTAACCACCTGCCTATAAAGATACTAGCAGGCTCAGCTTCTTTTACAGCTGGAGGCTCGCTCTTCGCAGCTTGAATCGATTCGAGCCTAAGCTGTACGTTCTCGTAAAGAGTTGTTATCACTGCCTCAGTTATTTTACTCGTCGTTATCACATTCGATGTCTCTGATATGAAATCTGTCGATGTTATAATAATCTGACCATCCGACAAGCTCTGCAGTAGGAAAAATAAAGAGGATAGATTCAATTAGCGTAGCAATTAAGAGTATATTAAACATTACTGAATACTGCTTTAATTAAACTAAAATTGAATTTATATTGAGTAAGAGCCGATTTAAAAAGTATTAAGGGAAGGGGGGAGTTTATTAGTGTCTATTATATATTCGTTATGTTAATCAGAATTAACAATTGCACAGTAATCCTAGTAATTAATGTAAAAATAAATGTACCTAAGCGGTAAAAATGTACTTACAATGTCAGATATAATGTCACTCTCTTCCCTGAAACTCTCGGCGTTACCGAAGAAATATGGCACCTTGTGCGTGCACATATGCAGATTTCGGACCTTCCGTATCATCACTACCTTGCCATCCTTCAGGCCGAAGACCGGCTTGAGCGCGTAGTTGGGTTTCCCCCACAAAACCACGTGTCTCTTCTCGATCTTAAAGGTCGTGTAACACTCGCCCTGGGTGAAATTCTCCGTTGCGTCGAAAGCAATGTCATTCCCGACACCATCGATGATGGCACCTACGCTCAACTGGCCCACAATCATACGGATCATGTCGAGCTCGCGCGGCTGAATGTTCTCATTCACCACGAGACTGTCCAGCCCTCGTTTGTTGAACTTGATCTCGAACTGATCCTCGTTGATCTCGTAAGCCGGCTGCCGGTTTATCGGGCCGGTTGGTATTACTGATTCCGACGGGTCCAGATTATCCACGACGAAACTGTTCGCTTTGGAATCCTCGAAATGACAGCTCAACGTGTGGCCGCCTTTTGGCTGGCAGATCAGCTTCGACAGTAAGTTTAGTCCCACGCTGCCATAAATACCTTCCTCTGGGATCGCCGTGCAATTTACCTGGACTTGAAACGTATATTCCGGTCCATGTTCCCATGGCTCGTTCACAGTGAGATGCGCGACTGAAGGAAAAAGATTATTATATTATTGCGCGCACTGGACAAGTTATGGCAGCTGCTTGGACGACGTATTATTCGACGACCGCCAGAACGATTGAATGGGTCGGTTATGCTTAAATGAATCTAGATTAGTGCGGTGGTGACATTAAGCGAGCCAATGTCTACGGTTAAATATCTCGAGATTTAGCGTTTTGTTTTTTTTTTGCCTTTCCGATAAGCAGTTCAGTTACGCGAGCGGTCATTCGATTCGCGACACGTTAACACGGACGCATACCATTCTGGCTATCGGCTCTTACAACAGGACACCCTTCGGCAAAACGAGAATTGATCACAAAGTACCGAAAACGGCGGACGCGATTCAAGTCGAGTCAGTCCGCGAGTCGTTACGCAGGTGTCACGATAATTCCAAATTCTCACCTAAAAAGAACGGTATCACTATCACGTTCATGGTGACACCGTGCAACGTTGATCTACTTTAATGGAGTTACTGATGTTCGAGCTCTGCTCTTATACGAGCGGCTAAACCGCACTACTGACCTCTTCTTACCATTAGCGAGCTCCAATTTATCCAAACCCGTTCTATGTTTGTCATAGGAAAATAAAACTAACATCTTTAAAAATTTTAGAAAACCGAACAAGACGATTCAGCGTTCAAATAAAAAATAAATGATTAAAAATTGTTTTGCGAATTTTATTATTCATCGACGTAATTATAAATAAACGCATATACTTTAAAGCACATATAAATTTAAATAGAAGAAAAGCAAACGGAAACACATTTTATGTATATGTGCTATTTTATTTGCATTGAATTGCTATTTATCAATTTAAAAATGTAAAAAATTGCGTCATGATCAGCATCATTGTTTAAATTATAAAGCAGAACTGTTTTGAATTGTATTTCCTCTTCATGATTCGTACTGATTGAAGAATTGATGATTCGAAGAAAAGATAAATATAACGAGTAATAATTTATAAACTCAAGTTATTCGCTATTTATACTAAAACAAAATATATACTTACTCCAAATCTTGATGTTGAGCGCCGAAATTAGCCGATAAAACTTATCTACAAGAATCAAACTTGTTCGTATTCTGTTTATTCGCGACATTATATTTTACAAATTGCATTGCAAATAAGAACGATAATATAGCTTAACAAAAAAATAGGCAAAAGAATCAATTTCTTATCATCAGTGGTCCAAATATTAATTTTTTCATTAGTTTCACTATAATATCTAAAAAAAGAATATGATAAGTCTAAAAGATTTGTTATTACAAATTGTACCTTTCCATATCGTAAATTAAGAATCCATCTCTCTTTCTCTACGTGATTTTTACAAAAATACGTTATAATAAATATCAGAAATATACATCAGAAGAAAAATCGCGCACTAAGATTTTCCCATATTAAATTTGAATCCGCCCTTCGCTGACACTGACAATAGGCAGTGATGAATCTTAATCAAATAATCAAGTAGACCTAACTGACCTAGGAGAAACGATATAAATGAAATCTATGGCAACCATCACTAGTGTCAATGGTGGATAACTCTGATTTCTTTCTAAAAAAAATCATGTTTACATTATACATATATTATATATACATCAGATATATAGACTGTAATATAGGCAAGTGTAAAAATATTCGCTTGACGTATAGGTACATTGCGTATTCGTATGAAATGATACAATTGACAAGAAGCGACAGAATGATTGAGTGAAATAGCATCTCGTTTGTAGCTAATTTCTTTTGTTGTCTTGTTGGATGATTTCCTCACCATATTATCGATCAAAAGTTTAACGAATCAGTACAACAAGAGCACTATTTGCGCTCCGTGCTAATAATATACACGTAGCATTTATACCAAGAATTAGATCCTTTAGAATGCATTTGTAAGGTAAATATATAGTATAAACAAAATTGAGATCGCAAACTCTTGTTGTAGAAATGGAGTACGCGTGCCCCGTAACACGTAGGTATGTCGTAAGACTACGTGCGGTCGCGTCATAATAGAGGCGTAAAATATTTGAACGGCCGATACAACGGAGTGCGTTTATTGACCCAAGGTCATTGTAATGATTCCATAAGCGACGAAGTACGCTCGACATGCGCGGTCTATGAACGAAACGTTGATATAGCAATCCTGTGCGCTAACATAGCTCTCGATGCAACGCATCTCTACCTTCGCATTGCATTTTCTTCAATTAGAAGTGTATCTGACAAATTATTTGCAAAAACACTACAAGAAATCAATAAAGTATCGTGTGAGCGTTGCAAATTTAGGAAGAATTTGCATTATTGCAAAATTTCAAAAAAATGTAACTTGGAATATCTTGTGGCTAATATTCGAGCATGGCAGTGGAGTTCTTGCGGATCAAGTGACATAATTTTGTCATTAACATGTGGATAAGACAATGATCTCGTTTGTGATATTAAAGTAAGTAGAATAACCGATAACTGTGACATATAAGTTAACTTGTGCTGTTTAAGCTCTTTAACTTAAAGACCATTTGAAAAATAGACTTTTTTATTTTAGACAATTTGCGATTTACTTATTTTATATATAATTATTATTGCACATATGGAAATGTGTGTAAATTAAACATAATTTTATTTTAAATTATTTATATTATTACAAGCACGTATGATTAATTTATGTATGGTTTACGAATGGCATTAAGATTTCAATAATCATGCAATTATTTTTTCGTATCGATAACAATATTATACTTATATTTGATTTTCAAATAAAACAAATATAGCCATCTAGTAGTATAAACTGAAACTAGAAATATGTATTTCTTTTCGATCGATAATTATGTTACTTTCGTACAGATTGTATGTGTGATGTATATGCACATGCATAGTATACATATGACATATATGTATAAAATATTCAATTAGATTAATTGAAACTTTATGATTCAGGTACGTAATGTTATTTTAATGTATGTTTGTAAAACAATTATGTATTTACTATTGTTAAAGAACATCATGATATTTTGAAATAATTTCCGTGCAAAGACGTATTATTAAATTATTAAAGAGACATTTGTATGATGTACAGAGATAGCTTATGTCTGTTATGATTAATGATATCTTTGAAACATTGTTTTAAGATGTACATATGTCTCTAAGGTATTTTCATTTGGTATCGTTTGTAATAGATAGTATAATTTATAAATTAACACTAGTAATCCTATCTTAAAATTGCCGTGTTACCCATATAATTTAATGTCTGAAATTTTTATATTAAATGTTCTATAATATTTTTAAATCAAAATAAACAAATATATACATATCCATAAATAATCTGTTATATTCAGAATCCATGAATAAATTATATGTATCGTATTTCTGAAATATTTATATAATAATAAATCCAAAAATTAAATTAATTGCTACATTATATGTATGTACAAGCCAATTTCAATTCTCGAATTAATACGATAATTTATTCATTGAATTCGGAATACAAAAGATTATTTAAAATTTAAAGAGGCTTGATAGAAGACTAGGATTGGCTTTTACGTAATATTGTCACGATTAGTTCTGCCGTACCTGGCACTAGAAAATCGAAGTTGCATTTATAACGCAGCTTTTTGTCTATTTCTGTATATTTACTGATTTAAGAACGACGTCTATTCTATATTAAATATTCTTTAAATAATTATAATCTTTGAGAAAATAATTGCGTGAGCGTGCGCATCACAAGAACCTTGAGAATTAAAATATAATCATCGGAGAAACCTTTTTAGAAGAGAAAGACATCTAATTAAATGAGAACAATACACAATTTTTTATATACAGAATTATAAATTCCGTAAATGTTTGCACTCACATATACACGTCACACCTTTGCAATAAATTCTATCTTAAAGTAAAAATGGACGAATACATTATTGGACGATTATTTAGCATATCTCGCTAAAAGCATTACGCTTAAACTGGTTTCCAACACATTTCCTTACCGATGATTCTGCGCCGTAATTTTTGTTCAATGACAGAAGAAAAATACATATGATCACGTATCGAACGTTAATATATTTTTATAATAAAATTTTCGTATTAATTCTAATTTTATTTCGTATTGCAGTAATACAATGACAATTACGACTAATAAACAATAATTTATTATCTAAGATTTTTGTATGTAACTATTGTTTCACTATTAATTTATTTGATTTAACAACTATGTCACTGGTATTCAATTATAACAAGAATAATTATATATATTATTGTATATTCTTGTAACTGTTTTATATACACATATATAAATAAAATATAATAATAATGATAATAATAAGTTATATAATAATATAACAAATAATTGTAAATATTTATATTATTCATAGCTAATGTTCTTATTCTACAAACGCAAATTCAAATTTCTAATATGTAACTAATATGTAAATACTGCGCGAAATGCGGGAATACATTATTTACTTTACATTGATCTGCATATCAAAGATCATCGTTTTTCATTCGCGCAGGCGAGCAATTCTGCATCTGACGCGTGTAATTATCCCAGTGACGTAGGCAATTTCGAATTTTATGCAGCGACTGTTTATGTTATAAACGTACAAACGTGGCAAGTTTTTCGACATGTCGAGATGTAACACATCAGTAATGCATTATAAATGCGGCTAAAAAAAATCTATCTTGAGATTAATTCTTTCGCAACTTATATTTACCGCAGAAAATATCTTAATAACTCCAATGCCAATTCTCTCATCGTAATCGTGCAATTCCGCACAATTCCAATGACAACGGACGTTACATTGCAAACGAGATTTTGCTTTATCATTTTTAACGGGAACTGTGACTTCTTTCAACCTGCATGAAATTTATCACGCCTGATGGTTCAAAGCTAGTTGGGAAAAACCCGGTTCGCACCGTTTCTATAAGCCAGCAGCAACAACGGCCTTTAATCCCCACAATCTGATTCAGTCACGGCCAAATGAGAAGAACGGCCATAAATATTTTGTCCCAGCTGTATTTCTGTTTTGCGTGACAGCAATTTGCGAGAATAGAAAATTGTAAAAACACTCTCAATTAGATGCACAAGCACGAAAGCAATGTGATACCTCACAAAGAGGTACCATATACCTCATCTAATCACTTCGGAGAAAATCTCATTGACATTTAGAATGACTCAAAATGTGACTGAAAATTCACTTCCTTTGGACTCAATTACAATACTCAATGTTAATTTTCTATTGTAATGTTTGTATATATAAAAAAAATATTCCTATTGCATATATCATACTTAACACGAGATATTAGCACATGTCTCGATAAATTAAAAATCTTATTTTCTATAATATAACTTATAGTTACTGAAATTAAAATTTTCGTGACTGCACTACTTAATTGAGATGTTTATTAAAACACATCCTCTGCACATAGCAGAGAAAATTGCTGGTCTGACATTTCCGTCGATTCGCCAAAGGTAAAACCGGAATTCCGACTGAACCAATTATTTGACGTAAGCGAGCCTTTCACCGACAATAAGAAGACACGTTCCACCGCTACAAGAACGAAAGAAACAAAATCTCTTCCAAACCCGATAAAGAAATCGCGGCTTGACCATGAAAACCGCGCAGAGATAAAAATTTAGAGATATAGGAATACAACAGGAAAACGAGTTCTAGTAGGAAAACACCCAGAGGAAAATAATTGTATGTACTAATTTTCCATCGTTCCAGTCGCTGTGTTTCATTAATTGTTTATATCGTTGTATAGTAATTATCGTCGCTCACACGAATTATTCAATAAAAACTATAAACGAACTTAATTGCGATACCCAATATGTTTTTATACGGATAAACGTTGCAGATAAGCTTGGAAAAACAATATATTTATCAAATACAATCTTATATTGAACATTCTGCGTATAATTTATGATAAAACTTGTAAAATGCAAGATTTCTGCACCATATATTCTGCATTGTTAAGATTTACTCTCATTTTCTCATAATAATCGAGAATTTTTAGTTTGACAATGTGTGAAAATTTAATAGATATGTCATAAATAATAAGATAATTTTTATCTTCCACATATCTTTTCTATAACATGCATAATAAAGATTATGTTGCCATGAACTGTTGACCGATGTAATTTTTGCTATCTGCTCTTGCTTTTATACGTTGCTTATCTTTAAAACATTAACGAGAAATGGCGTGCTCCGGAAATATTAAAAATATGTTAGTATTAAAAAACATCCGTGATTTCCAAAGATCTTCGTAAGGTTACGATACAGTTTAAAATATAATTTTTTAAATTAATATTTTTCGCTAAATATCACTTCAAAATTGTTTTCGTTTTCTATCGCTGTTTCCATAGAAAAATTCGTATGAATAAACAACTAGTATCTTTTCTCACGAACAATGTCTGCAGTGAATTC